CAATTATTCACTACCTACACACGTTGTTCCGCCACGTTGTGAGCGTCTTATATATATACCAAACAAACATATATCTAGTAAATGCTAGGGCATTCACGAAGGAACAAGATATTTCTAGAAAATAGGTGACGCAGCAGTATCGTTGAATGGTTCAGAATTCACCTTGAATCAGATATATATATATATATATCCTAAAAATGTTGCATTTCCAGCAACACACTGCCGTATTATCATATGGAAATTGTTATTATGAAGTGTTATTAATGTTTTGTGATACTCAGGCCATTTAGATAACTTTTATGGCTAACAACAAACACGTAACTTTATTTCAACATGTCAAAGATTTTGCTGAAAATATAGACATTATTTTTACCAATAATTTTTTTCATTTTTACCAGTTTTTTCAAGGTTAAAGAAGTTTTTAAATACCAACAAATGTGACTTGGAAAACAATACCTAAGTATCTATTTTGAATCATATAATTTCTAAATACTGGTAGAAATTCACTATAATGTTACTATACCAAACGTTCTGTGAATTTTTAACCTTTTGGGCTGTGAAATTGCAATATTGAAAATGATGTAGTGAATTGAGCAAATTAAGTTTTATTTAATCTAAGTTGAGAAATTACTTACAGAATTAAAATTCTATTGTATGAAGCTCAATAAAATGCCTGACTTGAAGATAATTTTGTTGCTTAGTTCTTTTGCTGGCATGATCTTTTAAGTTATCTGGTGAATATAAATCAACTTCTAGTCCACCTAACGATAATAAATTACTTTATTTCCTCCTACAAACATGAATACAGCCATAACTCTTCTGTAGGCCTACGTTACACATGAAGTTAACTAACCTAAAACAAATCAGTATACTTGTACAAAGTAATCGCGATAGTTAACATACTGGTTCACTCTCTATCTTAAAATCCCTCTCTACACTTCACAACTATCTCGTATTTATAATGTAGCTTCGATTATACTGAAAAAAAAGAGATTGACGTCACATCTTTAGAAATTTCTAAGCGTTCTACGCCTTCTAGATAACAAACAAATTACACAGTTGAAGATCAAAAAGAATCTAAGCTGCCTTTTTTAGATCTAGAAGTCATCAACCGGAACAACAAGTTCGAAACTAAGTACTACCACAAGCCAACATTTTCTGACCTGAACTGTAATTTCAGAACATTTATACCTTACTGTTACAAAGCTAATTTAATAAGTATTTTAGTTCATAGAGCATATAAACTTATCAATATTTAAAAATATTTGATTAAAAAATGCCTTTCCTCTAGCTCTCATCAACAAAAGTACTTTTGAATACCTCAACATTCCTAAATGCCGTATCACCTAGGTGTTACCTTTCACTGGTTCCCATGGCATCATACTAAAAAGTAAAATCAAAAACATTCTGCAATCAACTTATCCCCAAGTCAGCCTAAGAGTAATTTTCAATCCGAACAAACATATATGCAATTTCTTTCCTGTTTAAAAGACAAAATACCCGCTTCAAAAAAAAAATCGCTGGTAGTATACAAATATTTGTGTCCTTCCTCAGGCTAGTCTACATTGGGTCAACGACTCGAAATTTAGCTACCAGAATCAAGGAGCCTGCGCATAACAGCCCTTTCAATAACTCTGGAATTTACAACCACCTAAGCAACGACTGTAAAGAAAAACCGAACAGTTAACACTTCAGAATAATAGACTCGGCGAAAGATGAATGAACATAAGAAAAAAAAGGAAGCACTCCTTATTCGTAACCTACAACCTAAGCTGAACAATCAACTAGCTACGTCACTGTATCTCAAACTATGATCAACTCATTGTGCCTGAGATGGGCAAAAAGTGAAAACTTCATTCAATAAACAAGTGACAATATTAAAAGTGAATAATAATTTGTTGCTGAAAAGTAACGATTCAGAGAACAATGCCCCTGTAAAACTTTCTTTATTGGATAACTTTCCAGTAATACGGTGAAAACGAAAGAACTTAGTTTCATACTTCCCTTACTGTGTGAAATATGTTGAAATGGAACTTAGTACTTATTAGAGAGAATGATTTAGGAAAATATCCTCTATTCGAAATTATTACACAAGTACACACACACACACATTAACTTTCATTTTAACTCTGGTTAGCAATTACTTATCGTTTTTGTTATTAATTACATTCTCTTTGTGATATATATATATACATATATGTACATAACTGTGTAAAATTACTTTGTATTCAAGATTTATTTTTCCTCTAGAATTCATAATGAAGCTTGTTCTCGACGCGTGATAAATTCGTGAAATCAAATTATTCAGCAGATTTACAAAATGTTTTGAAATATCTCTCAGTATCGGTACATGCAGAGCAAAAATGTTTTATTCTCATTTTTCAGCGGTGTTTGAGCACTTCATGTTGTGTTTGTGATTTTGGTTAATTTATGTAATAAGTGTGAGATAGATATTGGAAATAGTACGCAGAGTATTACTTCATTATTATATAGTGATATTGTCTACTCATGTTACAAGAACACTTGCATAAAAACAACCTGAAAAGGCTTTTAATTTGGTCAGAAAGATCGCAAGACGTACAGATTGCCAAAAACGAAAGCCTTTGAGAATTTTCGATAACATAAACAGCTATAATATGAGATAGGAAATTGAAAATACTAAATAATTAAAAAATTAGATTAGTTA